GGGGGGGGGGCCGGGCAGGCCGGGCCGTGGCTGTGCAAGCCATCTCTCGGTGCTCCCGGGCAGGGTGTGGGCCTTGGCCAAGGACTGCTCCAGGTAAGTGCCCTTCCCTCTTGGCACTAATGGACACCTGGCCCCTGCAGGACAGCCAGTACCCCTGGAGCCAGCGCGTGAGCTTTGCCAAGGACATTGCATCCGGGATGGTGAGTGTGGGTCCAAGCAGAGGGTGGGCCGGAGGAGGGGCACTGCCAGGGGCTGAGCTGCTGTGGGAGTGTTTGCTGAGTGCACACACCTGGTTCACGGGTGGGGCGTGATGGACACTCCATACAAAGGGACAGCAGGGCTTGCAGGCAGGGGGAACAATAGGGGTCTCGCTGACAGTCTATACATGTGCATGCACAGGCGGGCACTATGTGGGTATTTATGGGGGTGTTGCTGTGCGTGCACAGGTGGGCGCTATGTGGGTATTTATGGGGGTGTTGCTGTGCATGCACAGGCAGGCACTATATGGGTATTTATGGGGGTGTTGCTGTGCATGCACAGGCGGGCACTATGTGGGTATTTATGGGGGTGTTGCTGTGCACGCACAGGCGGGCGCTATGTGGATGTTTATGGGGGTGTTGCTGTGCATGCACAGGCAGGCACTATATGGGTATTTATGGGGGTGTTGCTGTGCACGCACAGGCGGGCGCTATGTGGATGTTTATGGGGGTGTTGCTGTGCATGCACAGGCAGGCACTATATGGGTATTTATGGGGGTGTTGCTGTGCACGCACAGGCGGGCGCTATGTGGATGTTTATGGGGGTGTTGCTGTGCATGCACAGGCAGGCACTATATGGGTATTTATGGGGGTGTTGCTGTGCACGCACAGGCGGGCGCTGCGGGGGTGCTTAGGGGGGTGTTGCTGTGCACACACAGGCAGAGGTGCCATATGCAGGGACCGAGGGCCAGGGGCTGCCCCGTGCAGAAGGGTGCAGTGAGTAGGTGCCTTTCTGACCCTCCCCCTCCCCTAGGCTTACCTGCACTCGATGAACATCATCCATCGTGATCTCAACACTCACAACTGCCTGGTGCGGGAGGTGAGTGCTGCTGCTGCTGCTGAGCGTGGCCCAGCCCAGCTCTGTCTGCGCACGGAGCCCTGGGCCGGGCTGGGTACAGGGGAGCCATCCGGCAGCCCTGGCTGAGAAGTCTCCGGGTGGAGGCGGCTGATCCCTGCCCAGGGCTGCTCGGCTCCCCCGCCACGAGTGACTGACCGGTGCCCATCTCTCCGGCTCAGAACAGGAGCGTGGTGGTGGCCGACTTCGGGCTGGCCCGGCTCATGGTGGATGAAAAGAACCAGCCGGAGCAGCTCAAGACCCTGAAGAAGCCGGACCGCAAGAAGCGCTACACGGTGGTGGGGAACCCCTACTGGATGGCCCCGGAGATGATCAATGGTGAGCCCAGGGCCCGGGCCCCGCTGGGAGCAGCCCGTGGGGGCGTC